CGTACGGGGGAGAGGAGAATGATGTCAGCTGCTTTGGTTCCCACTGCAGGGAAAGACTGCCCTTTCCCTAGGCAGAGGAAGTAAACCTGAAGACAGACAGGCAGATAAAGGTAGGCTGATGGTTGCCTGGAAAGGACATAGCGTTGCCAACTCCAGGTTGGAAACTTCCAGGATATCTTAGGGATGAAGCCTGCTGTGGGTGGGGTCTGAGGAGGAGGAGGAGGAAGAGGGGGACCTCAGACAGATACAATGCCATACTCCCCACCCTCCAAACAAGCTGTTGCCAGTCTCCAGGTGACAGCTGGAGAGCACTTAAAGCTCTGGTGCTAATTCAAAGTGTTGCAATGTATCGACAGAAGTGTTTCGGAAAATCTTTAGGAATTGTTTGGTGCATTGCCAGCTTTAGGTATGGAAATTCCTGGGGATTTGAGGGGTGGAGCCTGGGTAACAATAGCTGCCACTCTCCAGGTGAGAGCTAGAGATCACTCAAAATTACAACTGCTCTTCAGGTAGCACAGATCAGTCCCTCTGGAGAAAACAGTGGACTCTGTCATTATACCCTGCTGAGGTCGCCACAGCAAACTGACACTGTTTGCCCAAAGCCAGAGCACTCTCCCAGAGCCTCTTTCTAGCTCCCGTTGTATTTATTTCCACAACGGGCCTTATTTCTAGTGCCTTAAATAAATAAATAATAAATAAAGAGCAGAAATAAGTAGCTGTCTGGCCCAGTGTCTGGGGTAATCCCAGATGAATTGGAGAACAAGTTTTCCTGGCTGCCTCAATCAGGCACTGAAACTGAATATCTAAAAGCCTGTGTTTGATTGTATGAAATATTGTGGAGGCAGAGGATAAATAAAGCGGCTCTAAAGGTATTCCTAAGGACCTAATTTTTTTCCTTGCTGTTTGTTTGTTTGTACGACAGCCACATCTTTGATGTATATCTAAATTTTAACGTACTTTTTTCCTCTGATATGCCAATAAAGGTTGTCTGTCTGTCTGTTTTAGCTCTGTTTGTTTTCAGACTTCTGTAGTCCAAACCTGATTGTATGTCCCATCCAAGGCTCCCTCTAAGCTGTGGAGTCTTGTGAGCAAAAATTCTACTTTGTGAGCTACTGGCATTAAAGTTGTGAGCGAGCCATTTGGCTACTGCATAAATTACTTTGCTCTGGAGCCCTCCTTCCTGAGCAGAGAGAAAAATGTGTGAGCCGGAGGCTAAAAAACTGTTAGCTAGCTCACCCTAACTCAGCTTAGAGGGAACACTGGTCACATCCTGTTGACTGTACTGAACTTACACTAGGTAATCCATCTTGAGACTCAGCCGGAAAGGCAGACTATGGCCCCAGTCACACGGAGGATTTGCCACGCTAAAGGCACGAATGGTAGGTGGATTTTTGGTGTGCGATCACACCGCAACATCTGGGAAGCGTAGCGCACCCGTAGCCAACCCGTGGCATCTCGCCGAAGATGCGCAGTAAAAAAATACCTCAGAAAGTGCAGTAGTATCTGGAAAATGCGCAGCAGGGGCGGGTGATCGTGGGAGCGCTAGTATCCCATGGCTTCCGGGGCCCATCCGAGTCCCGTCACAAACCAGATCGTTTCCCTAAGCGCATGCACATGATCACTAAACTGGAAGCAGTGCTGCTCCATGGAACTGCGCATGCGCACAAACACAGAATGCTTGCCGCACAGCTTCTTTGCCAGCTCCAGCATCGCCGTGTGATCACGAGCTTCCTGCCACAGCGCAAATACTCGGGAGACCGTGTGATCAAGCTAACGTCCTTTATTTTGCCCCAGGGCAAACAGCCACGCCTCACCCCCGCATTATCTGGCCCATGTGACCGGGGCCTATAATAACCATTATGTCGGAGAGCTAGTTTTGTCCAGTAGCACCTTAGGGACCAATGAGATTTTTGAAATATAATCTTTTGAGAGTCAAAGCTCTGTCCATCGGATAGGAGCTGGAAGTTCTTAGGCTGGAGGAATATGTTAAACGTAAGACGAAAGGTGGGCTATAAATATTTTAATAAAATAAATGACTAAACTTTGCTCAGTAGAGTGGCAGAACGGGGGTAGGATCCACCCTGTATTACCTAGAGGGGGAAACACATTTGGAAGTGAAAGATTCCAGCATTTAAAAAGAATATTTTGTGTCTGTGTGCATGTATATGTGTTTCTGTGTGCTTGTCTGGAAGTTATGGTAGCTTCTGGCGACCCCTGCTGGGGGCTTGGACTTTTTCAGAGAGGTGGCTTGAGTCACCTGCCTCTGCATCCCATCTCTGCTATTCCTTGGAGGTCTCCCTTCCAAGTACTTGCCAAGGTCAGCCCTGCTTAGCTTCCAAGTTCTGAAGAGATTGGGTTTGCCTGGGCTGTCCAGGTCGGGACTAAGATCCCAGCATTTCTAAGAAGACAGGAAAGCCAGGTGTTTTTGCTATTTAGAAGGAAGCACAGTCCTTTCACTTTCTTCACACACATCCACAAAGTAAAAGTTCTGTGCTTGAACATATGCAAATAATAAACACACCTTTTATTCAGGTGGGTCGCCGTTTTGGTCTGAAGCAGCGGAACAAAGTTTGAGTCCAGGGGCACCTTGAAGACCGACAGAATTAAACTTTATTGGTCTTAACGGTGCCACAGGACTCAAGCTCTGTTCTACCTTTTATTATGTTCCTGCTAGTCCAGATGCTCTAAAGCCCTTCGCTCTGTCCGTTATGAATCCTACCGAGCCCAGCTGAGATTCAAGTCAGCATCTTCTGCAAAGCACATACTGTTCCCCATGAGCTGTTGTTTCTCTGTTTGCCATGCTAGGCAGGTGGGATACATCTGCGGGAGGGCAAAGCCTTCTACATAAAGCTATAGCGTAATTCACACGGGATCTCATTTCTCTATCAGTGCGACTCCATTTCTGTGTTGGTGTTGTAGCATCCCATAAGAGAACACGATAAAGGCTTCTAAAGTTTTGAAAGCGGGAGACAAAATAACTCGAAGTGCAAAGTACACGTAGCTTCCGATAGGGAGGCAAGCCCTGTCCAAGCAGCTTTCTAAAGAAGTATTTCCCAGTGCCATTCTGAAAGCGCTTCTCCTTCCACCCCTTCCTTTATCCAGGCTCCAATTCTAGCAGTCCCCTTCCTGTCCCCCATCTCACTTGAGGCAGCCCTCCAGTGGAAGACGCAGGTAGTCTTTCAGGGAAGAAGGCAGCTTCAACTCGGCAACACCCAGGTGGCATCGTGTCCCCAACTGCTTCCGGACTGCACAGCGGGTCAGATGTTGTAGTGGGCGAGGCTGGTTCACCAGCCGGAGGACTGAATCGTAGAACCGTTGGTGTTTCTGTCAACACAGAAAGAAAATCAAGTAAGAATCCACACACACACACATCCCGTGGAGAAAGCAAGCCCACGAACTGGCACATAAATGAACTTAGTGGCTCTCCATGAAGGAACACTCCCTTGGGCAATGCAGTTTCTCCTCTATGATGGATTGACAACCTCCTTATTTACAAAACAAACTCGGGTCATTTCCTGTGGGAGTGCACAGGAGCGGAGCTCCGGCAGTAAGGAGCCCAGGGGGTGGGCACATACAACAAGCCCCGCCCCCCGTTCCCAGCAGCCCTCAGTTGGGCCATGAGGAGCAAGAAGCAGCCAGGTAAGTTGCAGAGGCCCCCACCTGGCCTGCCTTCAGGTACAAGCTCTCCCTCATCTCTGAGGGCAGATCTGCACACACACCCCTCAACAGCTAGCAATCCAAAACAGTCCAGTGGAGCCTGAGCGGTGGGTGTTGCCTTCTGACTCACTTCCGGTGATGTCAGGGTGTGTGGCATATGCAAATAAGCTATGCTAATGAGCTCCTGCACCTCTTTTTCTACGAAATGACCCCTGAACAAACTGATATAATTCAAGTCAGGCTCAGCATTGAGGAGGCATCTGCTGTTAATATCCTGGCAATAATGGTGATTGGCCACTAGAGTAAGAGGATCATCAGCTCTTGATAAATAGGTTTCTTGAAATGGTCACTATCGAATGTCTGTTGAGTTTCTGGATCTGTTCTAGCTGATGTTGTACTGTCTTTATTTTGAGGACAATCCTCCTTAAGTGAATAGCTAAACAATGTAGAGATAACCAATGCTCCCTCAAAGCTGTGGAGTCCTGTGAGCAAAAATTCTCCTTTGTGAGCCACTGGCATTAAAGTTGTGAGCGAGCAATTTAGCTACTGCATAAATTCGTTTGCTCTGGAGCCATCCTTCCTGAGCTAAGGCAAAAATGTGTGACCCGGAGGCTAAAAAACTGTGAGCTAGCTCACACTCACTCAGCTTAGAGGGAACACAGGAGATAACCTGAAGAGGTCTGGGTTGTCACGCACGTTAATTTTCACTACAGAGGACTTCTAAGGACGTTCTGTGATATTATTTTGAGATGGACTCGATGCAGCTTTGAATTGTCAAGCATCTTTGATACATATTCATTCACTTTGATATGAGTTTGAGAGGGATGATCTAGAAAGCTTAGGACAGTAAATTAGACACGTCGATGTGCTTTTTGTACTTTATTGTTAAATGTATTAAACTCATGGCTCATATCATAAACATTTTCTGAGAATTTTTTCCCCACGGTATTGTGGTTAACTCTGCCCATACTGTTAATTACCATGAGCCCTTTATATTTATACGGCTGAACTCCACCCTGGCAGACACTCCCTGCGAGGCGGATTCCTCAGTGCCTCCCTGAAGAGACGCTTCTCCGGCACCCAGACGGCTTCCGAGTCCTGAGCCAGGAGGCTCCAGCACAGACCGGCCCACCGCTCTCCTCCAGGACCAGAGAGGGCAAAGAGCTAGGGGCAAGGCTGGGACCAGGTGCAGAAGTGCATGTCTGGCAGCCTGAAGGAGAGACCAATGAGTCCACGACAGGATCTGGGCCTAGCTACTCCTCACAAGTAGAAGAGTTGACTCACCTTGTGAGATGAGCCTAACTACCCAGCCTCACCTCACCAGCAGGGTCGTTCCTTCTATTCAGAGGTCGTTTCCTGCGGGAGCGCACAAGAGCGGAGCTCCGGCAGTAAGGAGCCCAGGGGGCGGGCACATGCAACAAGCCCCACACTCCCAGCAGCCCTCAGTTGGGCCACGAGGAGCAGCCAGGTAAGTTACAGAGGCGCACCCCCCACACACCCTTCCTG